TCAGAAGTTGTCGCCAGTGTTGCTGGAGTGAACAAGTGCAGACCAACTGTGGGGGACATGAACGAAACTATAGCGATATATATATATATATATGTATATACATATATAACATATAGGTACTGACGTATTTGACAGTTTCCCGAAAACGAGCACAGATCAATGCGGACGCCCTTCAAACCTGAAAGTTATCTCAAAGTCCTGCGATTTGAAGCCAGTCGCTCGCAAGAAGCTAATTAATCACCAACAGTGCACCAGTAGGCAAAGTCCACACGGAATCCAAAAGGCGGACTTCGTAGTGTCAGCTTTGGCGAGTCGTGCTGTAGACGGTGTTGTTGCGGGACGTACCATCATTGAAGCTTTGGGGTGGGCCTCTCGGGATTTGCCTCCTTGCTCTCTCTCTCTCTCTTTCTCCCTCTCTCTTTTGCTCAGTGTCTGTCTCTCTCTCGGTCTCTCGCTCTCGCTCGCTCGCTCTCTTTATGTCAGGGTTTCATAAAGGTTTTTCATGATGAGCAGGCTTTCCAACACCCTTACAAGATGTTTACCAATCAACGGGATTGAAAAGGTCTCACAAGGTGTTTCTGGAGTTCTATCTGGGGTTTGTGAAAGATTTCAAACGGCCCGGGCTTTTGCAAGGTATGGTCTCGGGCTTTCAGAGACCTTGATTTGGACTACGTCATATACTGGGTTCTTCTTCAGGGAATTGATTTAAGTTACCAACAACAGTCAAAAAGCCATATAAACCCTAAACCCTAAACCCTAAACCCTGCCCGGGCTTCAACTTAGTTGCCCCGAGAGGCCCAGTAACGTTCCTCGGGAAATAATCCGGTCTCTGCCAAGACTCCGGAGTCTGCCGCTGCTTAAATGTAGGGTTTAGGGTTTAGGGTTTAGGTGGTTCTATAAGGGATCTATGATAGGGTTCTATATTAGGGGCCTTAAGAACTAGAATAGGGTTTTGGGGGCCATTATACTATAAATATAACAAGGGCCCCCCAAAATAGTAATGGTACTTATCTAGGCTGCAGACATTCAGGTAAGTCGCAAGAGGACCGTGTAAGAGAGTCGTGAAGCCAATAGGGTTTAGGGTTTAGGGTTAAGGGTTTAAGGTCGGCAGGCCTCTACTCTAAAGACACAATCACCCAGAAAGCGTGCACAGAAACCCTGAGACCAACTTGACCTACACTGCAAAGGCCACAAAACTCTCACAATGGCGTCTCGGGAATTTTCCCTAAACCCTATACCCCTAACCCCCTAAACCCTAAACCCCTAAACCCCTAACTCCCTAAACCCCAAACCTACTTTGAAGCCCAAGCCCTGGACTATCCGGCTGCTAAACCACAGTAGACTCATCCGTCATCAGACCTACCCCAAAACCCTCTAGGGCTAATGTAGCGGCCTAAATAATTACCTGTACTAGTTTGGGGGGTTCATATATTATACATCTAGTATAATGGGCACCAAAAACCCGAATCTAATTATTAAGGCCCTTACATCATACCCTTATAGAGCCCTTTTAATAACCCCTATAGTAACCCTTTAAAAGTAGTATAATGGGCCCCAAAGGCCCCTACAGTATCTATAGAAGCCTTATAAGACCTACCCTGAAGCCGAAAGCCCTCTAGATCCCTTCGGGAAGACCTGTCACAAAACAAGAAACCCGTACTATGGGGGCCTTAAGCATTAGACTAGGGTTTGTGTGTGTGTGTGTGTGTGAAAGCCCTAGATTGCGATGATCATTGTCATTCTCGCCTCCCTACTGTGTTTACTAATATTACTTCTCTGCTGTTATTCTTCGTCTTCTCCTTTGTTATTCCGACCCCCTATACTCAGCCCCTGCCTCTCCAAAACCCTAAACCCTAAACCAAAACCCTCAACCCTAAACCAAAACCCTAAACCCTAAACTCTAAACCGTGGTAACCCTAAACCCTAAACCAAAACCCTAAACCCGAAACTCTAAACCGTGGTAACCCTAAGCCCTTGACCCCTAAACCCTAAATCCTAAACCCTAAACCGTGGTAACCCTAAGCCCTTAACCCCTAAACCCTAAATCCTAAACCCTAAACCGTGGTAACCCTAAGCCCTTAACCCCTAAACCCTAAACCCCTAAACCCTAAACCGTGGTAACCCTAAACGCTAAGCCCTTCTGTTCCGGGAGCCAGGGCTGGCCATGGCGGATGCCATCTCCACTTCGACGACGGAAGTGCCGAGAACGACGGTCGCGACCTGACCTCGGGGCCGGTTTAGGGTTTTTTGGGTTAAGGGTTTAGGGTTTAGGGTTTAGGGTTTTTTGGGTTAAGGGTTTAGGGTTTCGGGCTTAGAGATATGGGTTTGGGGTTTAGGGTTTAGGGAAAAAGGTGTGGGGATGGAAGGTTTTGGGAATCCAGGGGCTCGGGGGTTGGGGTTCAGGCTTTCGGAGTTAGGACACAAGGTTCAGGGTTCAGGGTTCAGGGTTTAGGGTTTAGGGTTTAGGGTTCAGGGTTCAAGATTCACGGATTTAGCGTTTTGGGATTTTGGGACAAGGGAGGAATCCCCCGGCTGCAAGAGTCAGTCCCATCTGGTGCCTTGTCTCTTCCGTGGCTAACGCAACCCGCAGTCGAGGCTGCTGCCTGCGGTGCAAACACCTGGACGGCAGCCTCGGCAAACGTTGGGAAAGCCATGCGCGGGGTCAGGGCTCCCGGGTTTGGGGTTCCGGTACAAGCTGTAGGGGTTGGTTTAGGGTCTAGGGTTTAGGGTGAACCGGGCTTCAAGTTAATTCAGATGTAGGGAGAACGGTTTGGGGAATAGCGGTCTGAGCGGTTGATCTGCAGGTTCATGCTGATTACTAGATGTAGGTCTTGCGAGTCGATAGCATGATAAGCCGGCAGTCTTGCAGTGCCCGTGGAACTAATTACGTCGTACTGTGTTATGTCCCCTAATCATATTCGATATTTGTATGCATATCGATATCATATTTTAATGTGGCAAACATGTAATGCCATATGGTACTAAACTTCATGGCATCATACCTTGCATTGTGTTATGTTATGCGGTTGTGAGAACGCATGTGTTATCGTATTTGGTACAAACTAAGTTCTTGCACAACATGATATATCACATGGTGCTAAGATGCGATGTAGTATGATATATTTTGTTGTGGTGTGTTGCAGTATGTTATAATACCATACCGCATTCGATCATGTCATTTTGTACTGTCTTATATTAGGCTTTATTGTATTATATTATATCATATTATACTGTATTATATTGAGTTATAACATACCAAATACTGTGACATTTCACGATATTGTATGACTTGATACTGTTTTATGTTCATTGTCGTGCATGACATTACATCACGGTATATTATATTGCAATGTAACTTTTTAAAGTATGTTGTGTTATGTTTTTACCATACTACAATTACAGTGCAGGCTTTGTCATGTTGTATAGGTTATGAACTACACTTTCATGTTTTTAGTTATATCCAGTGTTATATGATATCGCAGTATGTCATAATCACTCTATAATATTATATGATTTTGTGAATATTACATTATATTTAAACATTTGTTGTGAACTTGTACTACATTATATTACATTACATCATGCTACATTACATCATAAGACTATATTTTGTAATATGTTTTATTATACGGCACACCATGGAATGTGTAGTTTCACAATGTTGTATTGAATTATACTGCATTATATTCTAGCATTCTATGTTTATAGTACAGGATATATCATACTCTATAATGTTTTAGTATGCTATAACCTGTTCTTCTATCATATATCATATGATACCGCTCTATGTGATATTCTGCCCTATCCTAGTATATATATATATACAACATCAGATTCAATTTAACTATATTCTGTTAAACTATACAAAAACACCTCATACTACATGGTGCTATGTTGTTGCATAGTATGCTAATTACGCTGTGTTAGTGCTAGTTACAGTATTTTTCACTGATTTAGATTATATTATGCGAAAATCTTAAACTTAGTGAAACTATAGTGTGTATAGATTATGTAATACGATGATATGTTATATGGTATTCCGTTATGCATTTGGATTCTTTCTGGTATTGTAGACTCTTATGTTATTTTTCAGCAGGTTAGGTTCTATAGTATCTGGATTATATAATATCATATAACCTAGAATACATTATGTGAGATGTGCTTGTATGTTAGCACAGGTTGTACAGTGCTGTAGTATTCGCCTATTACATTAGATTAACTTGTGTTACAACCGTATTATAGTGTTTTACATTTAAAAAATAATTGCGGAGCCTTAAGCTGCTGGTAATATAGAAGCCTAAATGATTGTGTATACTATTTTGGGGGTTTCTTATGATAAGTATAGTATGGTTTACCCCAAGAACCTATTCTAATCATGAAGGCCCCTACAGTACTTCGGACATGTGTCCGCAGGTTCTCATGAGTTCTTGGACCTGGACGGTTAACAAGCAGCTCAGGGTGCAAGCGGGTCTTCAAGCTCAGAGTTTTGTTGAACAGAAGGCCTTTGACAATTTAGAATAGGGCTTTGGGGTCCATAACAACATACCTGGATAGGGACTGAAAGGAGATATCAGATATCGTGACCAATTATTCTGACACCTATGCTGCTGCGTCCATGAGTCTGCACTACGCTTTGTCCACTGACAAGCCCCGCATGCTGAACGCTACCCCCGATGCCAGGGCTAAACTCAGACTTCCAAAACATCCCACCTTAAACCCTAAACCGTCCTGAACCGACATGCTTTCAAAGGCAACCGGCAACCCACCGATCTTCAAGGGCCCTGAAGAAGAATTCCTTCACGACTGTGCACACAAGCCGAAACCGAAAAAGGCGCAAAGGCCCGTACTCAAATCGACAAAGCAAGGCCCCAACTTCCCAACCTCCTGAGAAGCTGCCGGATGGTTCCGGGTACTGTTGAAATAATACATGTCCCTATCACCCAATCGTTAAGCCCACAGAGCATATAGCTATCTCAGTCATACTTTGGATATAAAAACTTTCGAGTTATCCTGCTCATAATTTGCTGGTAAGTACGGGTGTAAGTAGGTTTGTTTGAAGAACCCTAATGTAGGGGCCTTAGTATTTAGAATAGGGTTTTGGGAAATATAATGAGGAACCCCCAAAATAGTATTGGTAATTATTAAAGCCCCTACATTAGATCCCAATGGCTGTTCTATATTAAACCCTCAACCCCTAAACCCTAAACCCTAAACCCTCAACCCGGTGCTCCAGTTGCTGCTCAGGCCCCTGGCCGGAGGCATCGGAGAAGAGCTGAGTGTAAGAGCACCTCAGTCAACGATGTGATGTAGGGGGCCTTCATAAGCCTTACTAGTTAGGGTTTAGGGTTTTAGGGTTTAGGGTTAGTTAGGGTTTTAGGGTTTAGGGTTAGGTAGGGCTTTAAGGGTTCAGGGTTAGTTAGGGTTAGTGAGGGTAAGATTTAGGGTTTAGGGTGGGGCTAGCTAGGGTTTAGGGTTCAGGGTCAGCCAGATAATGTAGGGGTCTCCATGCTTAAAGAGAATATGGTTCCGTGCGCCGTGCATATGCTGGATGTTTTGTGCCCTTTCAACCATTTAGCCTTTTGGGGTTTCCGAAATAGGGGACCCTAAACCCTAAACCCTAAACCCTAAATAGTAGGATCCTTGTTATAAGGACCCCAAAATAAGGTACCCCTTATCTTCGGAAACTCCCATTTAGGTTGATAAGTACCTATACTAGTTTGGGGGTTCCTTAGAATAATTATAGTATAGTGTGGCCGAAAACCCTCTTCTAACTATTAAGGCCCTTATATCAGGTTGACTGATATTATAAGGACCCCCAAAATAAGGTACCCTAAACCATCAACCCTAAACCCTACCCCTTATCTTCGGAACTCCCACTTAGGTTGACTGATACAGTGTAGGCTTTTCTTTCTCCGAGACTAGCTGCAACTGAAGCCCTTCCACCCATGTAAGCGCGAACGTAGCGGCCCTAATAATTAAAAACCGGGTTTTTTTAAGGAATCCTTAAAGGGTTCTATAAGGGATCTATGATAGGGTTCTGTAGTAGGGGCCTTAATAATTAGAATAGAGTTTTTTTGAAAGGTTCTATAAGGGATCTGTGATAGGGTTCTATAGTAGGGGTGGGGGTTCCTTATTAGATTTATAGCATGATATACCTCAGACCCTATTCTAATTATTAAGGCCTCTACATTACTCAAGCCCTATCAGACACGGATCGTCCTGGGCATAGGAAAGCCTCCAAGACGGAAGCTGCCAAACATAGGGGCCCCAACAACGAGTAAGCGCGTTTCGGAAGATATCATCCGGCAACTCTACCAAAGATTCCCCCTTAAGGAACTGTACCAGCATCTCTGTACCTATAGTGTGCTAAAGTGGTCTCTTTAGATTTAGCTCCAAAGCTTCCTAGGAGCGCCTCGGCCGGGGCCTTAATAACTGGAGTAAGCTTCTTGGGGCACATCACCATAGCATGAACCCACTTTACAATGTAACCTCATCTTTGATTGTTCAAGCTTCTATATCAGGGGTTAGAGTTTCATGCTCATGGTTCGGCCCTCGCGGTTGGGGGCGTAGAGCCCTAAGCCTTAAGCCCCTAAACCTTGAAACCTTGAACTTGAACCCCACCCTCTCCCTAAGCTCCCCTGAGAGCTTGCGCTGTACCCGGAAGTCGCCCGTCCATCCAGCCATGACGGTTGAGCAGGGCCTGTCGTACATGGCATCGGGGCCATAAGAACTGGAACAGGTTTTTTTGGGTATATCATGCTATAATTAGCTATTTTAAGGACCACTGTCGCAAAAGGGTGTAGGGACAATAATAACAATAATTGGAAGACGGTTTTGCTCTATGTAAATATATGTTCGGGACCATACTTAAAGGATCATGGGACTTAGTAAGTAGGGTTCTAACCAAGGTACCTACACTTATAACCCCAATTAGGGGACATATAATCTTACTTACTAAGTCCCATGATCCTCCAAGTAGGGGCACTTAACCCTGGGTTGGTCTTCACCTAAACCCCTAGGAACTGCTTCCAGTACGGTTTAGGGTTTAGGGTTTAGGGGTTTGGTTTAGGGGTTTAGGTTTTGGGGGTTTAGGGGTTTAGGGTTTAGGGTTTAGGGGTAGTATGGGGGCATTCTTCCGACTTTCGGTGCTTGCAGGCGACGGTTCAGGGTTTGGGGCTTCAGGGGCCATGCTTCTTCGGCTTCAGGGTCTTACCGCTCCGTGTTTCGGGTTTAGGGTTTAGGGGTTTAAGGGTTTTTAGAAAGTCTGCAAAATTCCTTACGAGTTAAGAGTCTAGGGTTTAGGCGGTTTCGGGTTGTGGGCTGGTTTAAGGGCTTCGCCGATGGCTCTTTCATGCAATCAGCCCGTGAATGCTAAGGCGCTGGACCTTAGGTAGAGCCTGTGGTTTTTAGGGTTTATGGTTTAGGGGCTTCGGGTTTGGGGTTTAGGGGTTTAGGGTTTAGGGTTTAGGGTTTAGGGTTTAGGGTTAAGGGTTCTGGATTCTTAAGTTTAGGGTGTAGAGTTTGGGATTCATAAAGTTCAGGGTTTTAGGCCGTTGCATTTGTT